GAAGTACCAGGAGTAGAATCCATTTTTTAGATCTGTGATTGGGACAGGTTGAATGGCGTCCTTTTCCAGAAGTGACAGAACTTCCTCCTCTAGAGTGGGATCGAAAGATGTGTGACTTACGAACCCTAAGGGAGGAAATTCTATAAATTCCAGTCAGTAGCTGAATTGGATGATTTTTTAATGCCCATGAGTCGTTTGTGATGGAAGACCAGTTTGCCAGAAATGGTTGTAGTCGTGTGGTGATGTGACTTGTCTATGTGTATGACAAAGTTAAAGATACTTTTTTGATTTTGAAGACGATAACTGGGAGCGGAGGAAGAAGCCTGAGATGACCTTTGCTCAGGTAAATTCTTATAAGGTCTGTACTGTTGCGAAGATTGCTGATATTGTGCATAAGACCTTCTCCATTGAAATTTGTTATATCTAGGTTGAGGCTGGATTGAGTAAGGTTTGGCGGTCTTCCTTATGAAGCTCCTCCAAATGATTATCAGTTTTCTCATTGAATAGTCCGGCAGCATCAAAAGCAAGATTTTCTACTTTGGTTTTGACATCTTCTAGGATGTTGGCAGATCTCAGCCATGCATGCCTGTGAATAGTGACAGCAGACATGAGAACTCCGGCAACAGTCTCCGCTGCATGCCTAGTCGACAACCTTTGATGTTTTGATACGGTTTGAGCTTCTTCATAGGAATTTAGGAAACCCTGCCTGACGTCCTCTGGGGTCATTTTGAGATTAGGTAAAATCTTCAGCCAGAGCTGCTTTTGGTATGACCCCAGAGCAATTTGATAGTTTATGATTTGCAAGAGGAAAGAAATTAAGGAGTAGATCTTTCTGTCAATAATCTCCAGCTTCTTACCTTCCTTGTTAGTGGGGGTAACATGAGATTTTCCAGAGGGCTTAGTGCAGCTTGTTTCCACAATGAGTGAGCTCGGTATAGGATGTTTAAGCAGGAAATTCGTGTCATTGCCATGGACACGATAAAGATTTTCTGTACGACAATAGAAGGGGAGGTAGAAGGCTGCTCCCAGAATTCTTTTATAATCTCCATTATCACTGGTACAAAGATAAGACTTGGAGGTGGAGACCTCTCCTGATTGATGTCACCAAAAATAAAGTCTTCAGTAGGTTGGTCCACTTCCAATTTCAGAGCCCTTGCTAGTCTTGAGAGCACCTGAGAATATGAGGAGAAGTCCTCTGAGGGAGACGAAGCATGTGGATCCCCAGTATCAGAACCAACAACTTCTTCCTCAGGAAGGTCCCCTTGGCAAGGTTGCGATGGTAACTCCTGCTCAGACTCTGAAGATGCCGCAGAGGAAACTTCATCCGGATCCAATGAAAAAAGACCCTCCTCTAGAGTGGGATCGAAAGATGTGTGACTTACGAACCCTAAGGGAGGAAATTCTATAAATTCCAGTCAGTAGCTGAATTGGATGATTTTTTAATGCCCATGAGTCGTTTGTGATGGAAGACCAGTTTGCCAGAAATGGTTGTAGTCGTGTGGTGATGTGACTTGTTTATGTGTATGACAAAGTTAAAGATACTTTTTTGATTTTGAAGACGATAACTTGGAGCGGAGGAAGAAGCCTGAGATGA